CCACTTCACTATCACTCTGCCAGCTTATTATAACTAAATATCCGTCTTTCTCTCTCTTTCCCTCTGCTGGTCATTTGTCTTTTCCCTCACTTTCCTCCTCCAATGGCCACTGGCTCTCTGCTCTGACAGAAAGCATTCAATAACTGTAAAAATAAAGCGGAATAAATAAATGATATTTCATGTGATTGTGAAACAATTAAGTCATTTCCTGGCTGGCTGTGTTTTGTCTCTGTGTGTTTGACAGGTCGTGAAAGACCGGATGATTGCAGGGAGAAGAGGCTGGAGGGACGCCAGGAAGACAAGAGGAAGAAGGAGAAGAAGAAGGAGACCTAACTGACCTCAATATATTTATTACACCACATTTTTTCTTATATTTATAGTAGTACATAAAAAGGTTTTCCTAGTATTATTTTGAGTAAATCAATATGCAGAAAACAAGAAAAAAGTGACGGAAAAACTCAATAAACAAATTCCTCCTGCAGCACCAGCGTCCCAATAACCCTTTTAAGAAGTCTCCTGACACAGAGAAACATGTCATATCCAACACGACAGCCTGCAGCAGCCAAGAGACAATGTTAAAGTTGTTTATAAATACTTTTGTGTGGAAACTAGATGCTTAAAAAAAACCTTTCGGAGATTTTTTAAAGCAAATAATTCTATGCACAGGTGGAATCTATTCCAAAATGTTCATATGTCTCTTAATGCATCATCCAGCAATGTGGTACAAAGCCCAGTTATTATTGATACAAGTGAAGGTGAACGCACTGAGGTACCACAGATGGAGGTGAGTCCTGTTAATGAATATGAGTCATAAGGGCTGTGGTCAACAACCGTAAGAAGAGTGTGTGTGTGTGTGTGTGTGTGTGTGTGTGTGTGTGTGTGTGTGTGTGTGTGTGTGTGTGTGTGCAGCCAGAGAGTGACAGAAAATGAGTGTGCGTGTGTCTGTGTGTGTGTGTCTGCAGCCAGAGAGGGAGAGAGTGTGTGTGTGTGTCTTTGTGTGAGTGTGTGTGTGAGTGAGAGAGTGTGTGTGTGCAGCCAGAGAGGGACAGAAAATGTGTGTGTGTGTGTGAGAGTGAGTGTGTGCATGTGTGTGTATGTGTGTATGTGTGTGTAGTGAGAAAGAGAGAGAGAGTGTGTGTGTGTGAGAGAGAGAGTGTCTTTGTGTGTGAGTGTGAGAGTGAGAGAGTGACAGAAAATGAGTGTGTATGTGTGTGCGTGTAGTGAGAAAGAGAGAGAGAGTGTCTGTGTGTGTGAGAGTGTGTGAGAGATAGAGAGAGTGAGTGTGTGTGTGTGTGTGTGTGTGTGTGTGTGTGTGTGTGTGTGTGTGTGTGTGTGTGTGTGTGAGTGAGTGAGTGAGTGTGTGAGTGTGAGTGAGTGAGTGAGTGAGTGTGTGTGTGTGTGTGTGTGTGTGTGTGTGTGTGTGCAGCCAGAGAGTGACAGAAAATGGAGAATATAGAAGCAGGTCACTTTGCAGCAAGATATCAGAGTATTTCCTGAAAATGACAAAGTGTATCGCTCGTATCTTTTCAGTTTGTTAAAGAAAACAATAGCTTTTGCACCTCCCCCTCCTCTGCTGCCCTTTCCAAAGAAAAGCCCCACAGTGTGTGCACTCACCAGCCTCTCTCCGGACAGGACCTCCAGCAGCTTGATGAGCGAGCGCCCGTCCCTCAGGTCCATGTACAGGTCTGTGATCCTGCAGGAGACCCTGGACAGGTGGGAGTTCACCCACTTAGTGAAGGTCTTCTTCTGCACCGCCTCACGCTCATCTGCAGAGAGAGAGGTCAGAGGTCAGTGAGGAAACAGGAATTGAAGCTATAACAAAACGTAAAGACTAGGAGGAAACTTGGGGATTGTAGCCTTTGACCCTTTCTCAAAGTCCAACGTGATGTCTTTAACCGTCTTGTTTTGTAAAATGTTCACTTTAATATGATATAAAACAAAGAAAAAGGCAAATCTAAATACTAGAGGCTGAAACTGCATTAGATACATTTTGTTGATGAATATGAATTAAGATTGATATCGACCCTTTCACTCGAGTAATGGATTACTTGGAGTGTCTACGTGTGTCCTAAGTGTGTGTGTGTTCTGAGCATCCCATAAACTCATTGTTCCTAGAAAGGTGTGTGTGTGGGAGAGGTTTCCTGTGTCTGACAGAGTAGACTAAATCATCACCACACACACACACACACTGCTGTGTGTGTACAGTATATCAGAGTGTTTCCTTAGATGTCTCAGTTGCCATGACGGACAGGAGGAAGTTGCATAAGGAGGAGAGGGCGTGACACCTCCCACACACTCACAGTATTTTACACACACTGAATAGAAAGTATTTTTCTTCTGTAAAGTAATTATTCAAAACAGTATGTTGCTCTTATCCAGCCGCTGATGTTCTAATAAACACACACACACACACACCTTTTGTGTTTTTTATAATAAGCTTCTTTTAGAGCCGTCATTTGTGAAGTTAGTCAGAAGAGATTTGCATGACTTCAAATCATTTACATCATGAGACAACTGGAGCCAGCTGCAGAGTGAGAGACACTGCGTTAGCACATTATCTACTACATGTGAAGTTTAATTAACTCACACTTTTCATTATTTGCTGGCGTGAGAGGAGGAGTCCAGTCATGTTTGCTTTTTCTGGCAAATCTGCATCACTCAGGGCTCAGTGAGAAATATCACGTTTTCTCCCAGTTGGACACACGACTGTATTACTATACACGTCTGCATGCATGAGGTGAAGGTCTCAGTTTCTTTCCTTGATCACAAAGCATTATTCTTCCAGCCATGGCACCGTTTACAAGGCTCACTTTTCCAGGATTTGTTTTTTCACTAAACTTAATTCGTCGTGTAAAAATAAGTTAATTTTGTTGGCAAAAGATGGACGATGGACTGATGCTCTAACTCGGTGCTGAAAAAGAGACACGAATGAACTCAGTTTGACCCCTGAAAGGAAACAGGGACACACACACAAGTGATAAGAACCCCTGACTGTTTTATACATGCAAACAAATATGCATGACTTCAGTGTGTGTGTGTGTGTGTTCTCTCCTCAGGTGTGTGTGGTGTGTGCAGAGGGACAATAGCGTGATTGTTCGCTGGCATTCAGCAGCTTTATCACTCGGCACAAACACACTATGGAGGATTCCTCGTATCCACAAGTGGAAGCAGAGATATGTCGGCAACAAGACCACACGCCGCCAAAAATCTGAGAGTTATCTGAAGAGAGAAGTAACATGGACGCCTGCACGGAGCCAGACACACTAACACGCTGCAGCCATCAGGGGAAATCCTTGACTCTAAAACCTTCTTCCTACAGGCACAACCCACGACAAATACTCAGGTTTTCTTTCTGGTTAGTAGAGTCAGTCAGAGTAAGGGCCAGTGTCTTTTTTCAATTTCTTCCCAATGAAGAAAAACTGAGTCAGACCGTTGACATGCACACAAACCTATATAACACACTAGAGGAAAGGGGAGACCCCAAAGAGCGTAATAGGGCCTCACTAATGTCTATCAGACAGCGCTAAGTCATCATTATTTAATATTTATAGCCTTCATATTAATTTAATACATTTTTTCCTTGTCTGATTTATGAAAATAAATGTTTGTATGCATTTCAGGTGACTGTGGACACACACACACACACACACACACACACCAACACACACACACCACACACACACACACACACACACACTACACACACACACACACACACACACCACACACCACACACACACACACACACACACACACACACACACACACACACACACACACACACACACACACACACACACCCACACACACACACACACACACACACACACACACACACACACACACACACACACACACACACACCTCAATGTCTTCAAAGGATACTGTTGCATCCACATCACAAAGCCGATTGTTAGTGTGTGTGTTCGAGGAGAACTAAGGTATGACGGGATGTCTTTCTGTAGGTCAATAACACAAACACACACCCAATTACCGCTTAGCATGACCTTAACCTGAGGAAACACACATGCCAGATCATTTGGTTGAAAAAACAAAAAACACACAGGAATGTGCATCCTGAACATCATGTGAGGTGCTTAATTCTTCGTATCATCGTGTGAATGCATCACTCATAAATCACACAAACACACAGAACAATTGTCAATGCATCATGGGAAGTCAAGGTCCAGAGATGACAAGAATTCATAACCGAGGTACATGACACACACACACAACACACCCACACACCAACACACACACCACACAAACACCACCACCAAACACACACACACAACACACACAACACACACACACACACACACACACACACAACACACACACACCAACTACACACACACACACACAACACACACACACACACACACACCACACACACACACAACACACACACACACCACACACACACCACACACACACACACACACACAACACACACACCACACACACACATCACACACACACAACACACACACACACACCACACCACACACACACCACACACACCACACACACACACACACACACCAGAGTAAGGGTAATATTCGGCGGCCTCCCAGTTCCTCCTGTGGGAGATCAGGAATGCTAGAATCCAGGAATTGCAAAACTAGAAGTGTGTATTTTGATAAGGTTATACGATCGTCGGTGTGTGTTTGTGTGTGAGTGTCGTTGTGTGTGTTTGTGTGTGAGTGTCGTTGTGTGTGTTTGGCTAAAGTCATGCAATCCAGTGTGAATGGCCCAGAACTGGGTTACATTTGGAAACACAGCACAGACACGGGAGACTGAACAGAGCAGTGTGTGTGTGTGTGTGTGTGTGTGTGTGTGGTGTGTGTGTGTCTCTGTCTGTTAGTGGAAACAGATGTTTTGATATGTTCGGCCTGTCTTACACACACAGTCCTCTTCCTCTCTCACTGACACTTTTGAGTGTCAAAGAGTTATTCCGTGTACAACCAGAATTAAAGTCTTCATTGTGTTAGTTTCTTTTTTGACAGGAAAAAAAGCTCTACCTACAAATATGTAAACCTGCATCACAGGTGCCCTTGACTTTCAATCAGGAATGAATTTCAATATTTTTTAAAGGAATATATCTTCTACTTTGATAGTTTCCCAATAAAGGATATGAGTTTGTGATTATTCTTTGTTTAGTATAATAGATGTGAAGAAGAGAGATCATTAACCACACTGAATTTCAGGTATGAACAAAATGGCATCCAACAAACTGAAGTTACCTGTAAAATAATGTGTAAATGCTTAAATGAGGCTACATTCCCTTAAAAGAAGGCCTAGAATAAACAAAACTCAGGAAATAAAAGCTATGAGTTTCATCATGGTTCCAAAACATCCTACAGTCAGACAGCAGGACACCGGCAGATCCCTCAGCCAATCACAGGACACCATACTGAGTCTGCAGGAGGCCCAGCCAATCACACTGACCTATGTTAAAGTCTGAAATCTGAGAGCAGAGTCTGAATGAATGCAAACTCACACACACACTCACAGTGCTGCAGTGTGTTCCCATTGGAGCAGAAAGTGAGGCAGAATGTGAACAGAGGACCATTGAGAGTGAACACTGCCTGATTATCAGCCGGCAGACATATGTCCCGCACACTCAGCTCCTTTCAGACAAAACTGTTTGGGTCCCATCCAGATCCAGTCTCTTTAAACCCCAGACCAGGCTAGATTAGGGCTTTGGGTTGGGGTTCATCTGGAGTTAAAATAAGGCTAACCCAAATTCAAAGCCCTATGAGGAAGTTTGACCGACCGTACACTAGGGCTGCTCGATTATGGCAAAAATCAGAATCTCGATTATTTGGCTTTTACAGGCCAGGTGACACTTGTGCTTTTAAATTTGGGTTTTTATCTTACTAGTGTTTTGGATTGTTTTTACGTCATGTAGGAGTTTTTCAGTCGGTGGCTTCAGATCTGGTTTCATTGTCTCGTGTTTTACATTTGTTTCATGTCCTGTCTGTTTTTATGCTATACAGTTGTTGATCTACAGCACTTTGTTCAACTCTGTTGTTTTTTAAATGTGCTATCGAAATAAAATGGATTGGATTTGGGTCAATAATTGTAATTGCGATTATTAAATGCGATTATTCATTGACTTTGAAAACATCCATTTATTGGAAAAAAAAAAAGTGACCAGTATGTTTTTAACAGTTTAGATTACCCTGAACTTTAAGTAGAATTCAACTGAAACACCAACAAACAAAAAAAATCGTTTTATTTCGATTACGTTGTTTTTGTAATCGTTGCAAGCCATAATCGTGATTAAAATATGATTAATTGAGCAGCCCTACCGTACACATCTGGAGGAGTTAGTCAGCCACTGGGTGGGACAATGTGGAGTCTCCAATTAATGAATTTGAAGTAGCTAAACTTTTTTTGCGAAATCGTCATCATTTAAAAAGAGGCCCTGTAGTTGTTCTATAGGTTTGTTTTTGCATTTAAATGGTCTGCAAAGGCTACAGTCCCTGTGTTACCTCCAGAGGGAGTCATCGGTATTCTTTGTTTACTTCTGTAACATAGTGACATCAGTATGTAACAGTTGCACTTCTATTGGCTAGCACTCCAACACATAGTACGTGATACGGATAAAGGACGGGACATCTCTAAGCGGTTGACCAATCACAACAGAGCCGGCCAGCTAACCAATCAGAGCAGACTGGGCTCTGGTTTCAGACAGAGGGGGAAAATAGGTGCTGCAGCACAGACACTATGAGAAGAATAAAGAGCTTTTTGAACATTA